CGAAATTCTGAATTTCCTATTATACAGAAAAATCCCCCCAGCCCTGAATACTCAGTTTGAAAGTGAAAAGCAGATGCTTTTCCAAATGTTTGTTGCCAACAAGTAATTTTACTGAGGCCTTCAGACTCAGGAGTGTAAGGTCATTGATTTGGTAACAAGAATGTTGTGTCTGCACAGATCACATCCCTGTTTATTATACCTGTATGCTAATGTTACCAAAGTTGATTCTGTGCCTCCCAAATGTCTCAGGTGTCTTGTCAGAATAACTTTTTGAGCAGCTGGACAAAATGTTTGCTGAATATCACAACTTGAATATCCCAGAATTGCTTATAACAATTCAAAGATATTTTCAGGTTGTCATCTTAATAATGTTAGGTCTTGGTGTTCCTCTGTATACAAAACATTTTTTATTTTAATTTCAGAAAGCTTGAACTGAAATAAATAATATACAAGCAACGTATTTAGTGTCAAAGAATTATTTTTTTCTTTGGGGTTTTGATGTGAATAAATTATTATCGGAATTATTCAGTGTCAGAGAAAGAGTTTTCCATTAGATAAGTTGTCATTTTTTCTTATTTTCATATGAATTTTGTGAAATGGTAAATTCCCCAGGGCAGGAAAGGTAGAATGGGTAAATTGCGGACAGTTTTGTATTTAACATTGTTGCACATTGCCGCAGCAAAGTTGGCCTTAAATTGTACTTATCCTGCTGTAGGCTCTCTCTGGAAACACAGAAAAAGGCAGACTGGGACTCAGAGAAGTAGGAAAAATGTAAAGAGGTAATTAGGAAATCATCAGCCCCATCTACTCAGTCTGACAATCAATTTAGTTATTAGCAAAGTTGATCAGCACATTATCTTGCTTATTGTATTAATAATCTTTCCAGATATTTTTCTGTGCTTTGAACCTAGTTAAGTGAGATCATTGTAATTCTTATTTCCAAAAGGAGCTAGCATCCTTACTAACTGAAGTGTGGCTGCATTCTGGAAGGCAAAGGTGTTCAGAGTTTGCTGTCTTTCCATAATTCCAATTAAAATATGGGAAATTTTCATAGCTGGCAGGTTTTGTGCTCAGATCACGCCATGGTGAACATAAATGATTGCTGTGCCATAGCAGGAGTGCGCAGGTGCAATTCAGTTGGGGGAAACTCTGCTCACATCTCAGGATTTGTTTCCACCTTGCTGTCTTCTTATTTTTATTGCTTTCTCAGAGCCACTAGATGTGAATAGCAGCAAGTGTTTACTTTGGACCAAACAATCCTAGGTCTGACAGAATAAATCCACAATGTTTCTGCAAAGTAAGAAACATTTTTGGTAGTAATTTTTCTAGGATAGAACATTTGCATTTTAGACAACTTCTCAGCTGTCTCCTTTTCTCCGGTGTGCTCTCTGTGGCCACTGTGTCCAAGGCTACAATCTAAAGATCGGTTTTTTGCTGAGTTCACTTGATGATGAGAGGATCCCATCAAATTTGAATAAACAAAAAGAAATGGCAAAGTGCATCTGTTTTTCCTTTTAACATGACTTTAATTAGATGCTATCTCCTTTGAATGTAACTCAAGCTTTGCTCTTTTTCAGCTATCTGTTAAACCCCTACACTGTGATGTCTTGTGTGGCAAAGTCCACCTGCGCTATCAACAATACTGTCATTGCATTCTTCATTTTAGCTACAATAAAAGGTAACGCAGTGAAGAAAAAATGGGTCTTTATGACTTTCAGTAAAGATTAGAAAAGTAGCAGAAATTAAATCAAGGTGGAACTTTACAGATATGATTGCCACACAGAAATCTCTGTCTGTGTTTAAGAGAAGATAATGCTCTGCTGCTCTTTCTTTTAGAATCCCAGAATCCCAGACTGGTTTGGGTGGGCAGGGACCTCCCAGCCCATCCAGTCCCACCCCCTGCCATGGGCAGGGACACCCTCCACTAGCCCAGGTTGCCCAAAGCCCCATCCAACCTGGCCTTAAACCCAGGACCTTCTGTGTGTAAAGCAGATGTGATAACCACTACGCTATGGAACCATTTTGTACGTGAATATGCACTTAAAGTATTGTAAACAATTTATTTTCAAAGTGTATCTTTGAAGTTTTTATTCAAAAGCGAGCAGTTGCCTGCAGCTATTATTTGGCTTTCACTCACAGTAACCTTGGTTTGAAATTAGTTAATTGAGCTTTGGGGAAGCAGAAGCAGTAACCAAAGACCCATACTGGCACAGTTGAATAGATTACGTTGCTTTTATGACTCCTCAGTGCTAAAATCTTTTAGCATATGTGATTTGTACTAGTCACCAGTTTTAGGAGTTCTCTGTTGGATCAGAGAAAAGGTCAGTCTGTTCTCTTTGTCTCCAGCAGTGCCCAGACGTTGTGAAGAAAGCTGGTACAGATTGTTTTTATTAGTCTTTCCAAAAGAAAGTTTTCCTCCAATTACTGGCTAATTGAGGCAGGAGGGGTTTTGATTTAAAAGCATTTAAACGAGTGGAGTCCATTTAATTAAACTGATTTTTAACTGTTCACTGATACCGTAAGACAAGTAGTTCAGTCACAGACAAAACTGTAGTGGCTGTCCCCTGTTTTTTCCCCGACTGGGAGTGTGGCAGCCTCTAGGTTTTAAAGTGGGCAAAGAGAGGATGTCAGATGATAACTATGATTTCTGGGTACCAATTCTTTGGATCTGTGCAGAATTGAACACTTGATAAAATAGAGGACAGGGAGGTTTCTGTCTGTGAGAGTGTAGTTGAAGAATGGAGAAAGCTCAGCAGCAGGTAACCCTATATATTCTCTTTCAAAAGGTGGAAGCAGAGAGAAGCTTACCGAGTGTTTGATGTCAGTAGGGTGACAATTAGTCCAGTGCACTGAGTCAGGGTTCTTGTTGTCTAAGCTGCATTTTTACAGATGACTTCCATCAAGTGATGTAAGACTGAAAGCTGTAACCAGGCTACTGCACCGGGTGCCTGTATGTTTATTGTTTCACCTGGGACCTTTTGGACTTGGTTTCTGGGGTTGGTAGTTGGGCAATGTGAGTACTTGGCACTTAGCTCAACCTGAGAGACCTCAAATGAAGCTTCCTTGATAAAGGCATTCACGTTTTTAAGACCATTTGGAAAAGCAGTGCTAATCCTTTCTAAGCCTCAGTTTTGGTATCTGTAAAGTAGGGCTAACGCCACTTCATTCCTTCAGCAGCAGACTTTCGCTTGCTGTCTTTCACCGAGCTTTGCTGAGGGCCCTGACACGTTCTGGTGACGAGGTTATCCAGCACATCCGGTATAACAGCTGTTTCATGCAGATATGACTTAGGTGAAGACATTCCTGTCCATAAAGAGCGGCCAGCATGGTCTATATATAGACTGAATTACATGAATCTCTTTCTGTATGCGAATGGTAGGAGATATAAACCAGTCAGCGGTTCTTTCTAGTGGGAGAATCACCTTGGTATGAGTCATTATCCGTTCAAAATGTAGTTAAGAAAAATGACACTTTCCAGGACACATTCTGCTAAAAATGCCTTTAAGTGGTGTAAAGCCCCTGCAGAGGGTTATGCATTTCTTCCCATTTGGACTTCCTGTCTGTAAGGCTGTTTATCTCAAATGTTCCTTACAAATGAACGTTCACTTTTTCTTTGCAGGTAGTGCCTTCCTCAGTGCTGTGTTCCTGGCCTTAGCAACGTACCAGTCACTCTACCCTCTCACATTGTTTGCTCCAGCACTCCTTTACCTTCTACAGGTAGATGCTTTCTAACTGTTGGTACCTGTCGTCTTCTTGTAGCCGTGCAGGGACAGTCCTTAGCTATTGAGAGGGGAGTCGGGCAAGTCTTGGGTTTCAGAAAAAGTGACTTTTCTCAAGCCAGGGGAAGTTTGAAGCCTTAATGGGGATGCCTGTGCATGGAGAGAAGGGAGCAGAAAGTCATCTACAGAACTGGCTGGCGTTTAGCTTGCCCGAAATAAGTGCTGTTCTTTGTGTCGTGGGAATAGCTATGAGGATTTTAGACCTGGAGAATTTCCTTTGTGCTGCAGTGGGTCACTGAGCTGTGTGTTTGAACCACCCAAACTCAGAAATGCTGATCTAGAGTTTAACGGCAAAAGGCATGTGCTTGGGAAAGTGGCTGGTTGCCCTTGTCCGTTCTCCCACCCCGTTCACAGCACCCCTGAGTTCCATCCAGCAGGGCTGACCTTGATCATTCATGGGTACGCAGTGCCTCGGCAGACAGACGCTGCTCCAGGCCAAGCTCGCCCAGCAGTAGGCTGGAAGGCACATCTGCAGGCAGGGTGGGCTGGCAACCTGAGGCAGCTCTTTGCTAGTGAGTGGATTCATCACCAGATTGCCCGAGTGCTTCCCACCGAGGTCTCTCAACTCTTGTACTGATACTGTAAACAATGATTTAACCGAGATTCCAAATTAAAATGCACTTAATGAAAAGTGATCATTTGCTGGTGGTGTTCTGATATGGGAGCAAGGTGAGGCTGTGACCGATAGCAGAGGACTCTTATCCCAATTATCACATCACATGGTGATCATTTTTAGTATTCTTGCCATTCCAAAAGTCCTGCTGTTGAGTGTTTCGCCAGTCTTTCTTGGTTGTTTCTGTCCTGTCTCCCTCATGATTTTTATAGCTAATGTTAACTAAGGTTCGTTACAGCCTATTCTCAAATCTGAGCTTCAAAAGAGAATGGAGAGTCAGTTCTACTCCATTTTATTTCCCTCACTATCGGACATGAATATCTCTTTTTCAGAAGTTTTATTATTATTACTCTTCGTAAGACAAAAACTTCTGCAGGGTCAGTGTTGCTTTTTCAGTTTGATAATTTTTAGGAGCATTTACTTTATATATTTTATATTTTGGTCTCATTTGTTCTCTTTTAAGTCAAAATAAAGTGGCAGTAAAGTATAAGCATTGTGTTCACAAGCAACAAGTGCTTTGATACGTGAATGCCTAATTTGCAACTTTTAAAGGGGATCATGCTAGTGTGTGTTCTGTTATCCAGATTTGTAAATGAACTTTCCTGCCTTCCTTATACAGAATTAAATAGGTTTTCTCCAGCACTTTCCAATCTGTCCTGCCATAAATCTTGCTTACGTTGTTCCAGCAAGTGGCGTTAAACACACTATGACTGCAAAAATGAGCATGCTTTACACAGAGCCCACATCAGTTAGAGTTGGTGCTCTGTACATCTCCTGCCAGCGTAAACCCTAGAACCAAACAGAAAAGCCACATCGCTGACTTGGAGCTGCAGAACTCTGAGCGGTTCCCAAGGTGTTTGCCTCTCTGTGTGTATTTGTCTTTACAAATGCAGTCAGGGGACCTCTCAGAGTGAGATACTCATATGTCATGTTATGTGACAAGGGCTTGTGGTTGACCTACCAGGACACATGGCAATGGCAGGACTGCAGCAGTTGTCTTTGCCCGAGGAGGCAACCTTTTAGAGGGGTCCTTTGTACTTAGGAACCCACAGGATGTCCTTTTTCCCTGATTTCAGCAGAGCATGAGTGCCTGTCCAGTGGTGGGGACCTGGCATCACAGAGTGGTGGGTGGTGGAGCAGGGTGGGTTGAGGTGGGTTCATGCAGTAGAAGGCAGGCTGCAGTACAGTACTGCAAACATCTAAGATACAGGTGTAGCTGTGGGGAGGCGTGTGTAACTCTTACATTGAGTGTGTAAGACTTGACTCGCTGCAAGCAGAAATGACCAGCTTAGCTACTGTATTTTCAAGCACGGTTCTGGAAATACGTGCAATGTATATGACCTAATTGGCCAGAGTGAAGAACATCAAGCAAATTGCGCTTGAGAGCTGCTCCTTCCAGTGCCATAGCACCAGTGTTTGATGCTTTCTTTCATTGATTTGAAATGATGTTCTGAACGCTCAGGCTTTCTTGTGACTGTCCACCTGATGAGGAATATCTGCCTGCTTGTATTTCATTTTCAGCGTCAGTTCATACCAATAAAACTGAAAAGTAAAAGCTTCTGGCTCTACACCATGCAGTATGCAGCCCTATACCTGTGCAGCCTGGTGGTGATCATCTGCCTCTCCTTCTTCCTCCTCAACTCCTGGGATTTCATCCCATCTGTTTACGGGTTTATGTAAGTAAAAGGATTCTTACTGTTTTTTTCTGTCTGGCCCCACCCCCATGTTGTTTCTTGTGCATCCCCCGCAGGTGCCCCACTCCCTGTCCTAAGGAGTGTGTGATCTGTGATTTTACTGGCAATGCAAGAAAGAAAGAGTGAGTGGAGGAGCGCAGACATTAGCCAACTTCTGTTAATTAAGTAACAGCAAGAATTAGAGAAGAGAGGAGATGTTTTCCGCTGAGCTGATTGGAAATGGATTTGATTGTTGAGCTACCATGGCTGTGAAATTTTCATCTCTGGAAAAATATCTGCTTGGGAACGGTTTAAATCCTGCTGGGGCATAGGGAAGGTTTAGTCCCTTTTCTCTCTAGGTTTTCACCCCTTTGGTTCTCTTCCGTGGATTTAAAATGTAGGTCCTCCATCCAGTAGGACACAATGATTAATTAATGTAACAGAAGCAGGGCAGTGAAAAACAGGCATTTAAAAATATTAACTTTTCTTTTCAAATTTCAGCCTTTCCGTTCCAGATCTGACACCCAACATTGGCCTTTTCTGGTACTTCTTTGCAGAGATGTTTGAACACTTCAGTCTTTTCTTCGTATGCGTGTTTCAAATCAATGTGTTCTTCTACACCATTCCCTTGGCAATAAAGCTAAAGTAAGTATGTTTCTCTAGTAGGTTTTTTACTCTCTGTTGTCTGGTGGAAGCTTATAAGGCTGGCATCAGATATCTGGATCTACAAGCCTGAAAAAGATAGTTTATTTTAACAGGGCCTATCCGCCCTATCTCCCACAGTTTCAATCTTTATTCCTCTTAAATAGAGTGAGCTGAGCTCTGCTATGCAACAGAGTGCTACAGGCATCAGCAGAGAGAGCAGAAATTCAGTGTGTAGAGGTGCCTGCTCCCCGCCAGCATAAGCCAGTGTAGTCAGACGGCAAGAACTCTTGGCTGGAACTTCAAGTTCTTCATTGTCAGAAAAAAAGTGAAAACCTGGGGACATTCCTAGTGGACTGCACTGATAACGTTACCCCTCTTTCTGATAAAACCACTCATTAACACGCCTGGATTCTCAGTGAGCCTGTCCTTTTGACTTGGAATGGATACAGCCATCGTGACACGCCAAGAGAGATAACTGTGGGCTTCCCCACATAACCTCCAGAGAGGAGGTGCTGGTTCGGTGACTGTGACAGAGCTGGGGAAGAGCAGCCCAGATGACCAACTGTATAAATGTATGTTGAGTTGAGGCACGAAATTTCTGGGTGAGGGCAGTGAGCAGATGTGCATCCCCTTATACTGCTTCTCTACAGAGCAGCTCAGTCTATCCCCCCCCAGCACTCAGAGGCTTGTTTGGAGAGAACCAGGGCACGAGAGCCTTGTTGAGCCTGTCCCACAGTACATTTGTTCCCTTTGCTGATATTTATTTCCATTTTCCAGAGACCCTGCTGCATCCTCTTACCGTTTGTGTCTTTTCCCTTCTAGGGAACACCCTGTGTTCTTCATGTTCGTCCAGATTGCGATCATTTCTATCTTCAAGTCCTATCCCACTGTGGGAGACGTTGCACTGTACATGGCCTTCCTTCCAGTCTGGAGCCACCTTTACAGATGTAAGTTCTTTGATTGTTCCTTATCTGGAATGGGACAGGGCCTGTCCAAAAATTGTCACCCGTAAACCAAGCCCATGTCTGTAGGCTCTTGTAGCCTCCTTGGGATGTCTGGAAGGAAGCTTGATTTTTCTGGTGCTACAGTCTTTAGGACTAGGGTTGAAATTGGTTGAGGAGGGAATTTTCATGTGTACCTTATCTTCCCCCTCTCTCCAAGATTTACTGTTTTGTAAGAACCTTTTACAGTCCTGCATGAGGGATGTAGCTTATTTAAAGTACATCCGTCCTTCAAGCGCTTCACTCCCATTTAAGGCTGTGCAGTTTGAACACTGCTCCTGCAATTGATGGGTCCCCCAGCCTTAAAATCCTGCACCTTGCAGCGGTTCTTTGTCTTCCATGTGTGTGTTTGCTCAGAGTGAAAGTAACTGAATTATTGCAAGGAATTGTCCATTTTTTCTTAAATGCTTCATAAAGAACCTCTTTAGCTCTTTAAATCACCTGAGAGTTTCCTCATAATTTTCAAACTCAGTCTCTAGAACCTGCTACACTGGGGAAATTTGGAAGCACTGTGTTTTTCCTGCTGTTTCTTGCTTAAACCAACTGCTCTGACCAGCCCTGCCAGGTTTTCCAGGCCTTTTACTGCTGTCTTCTCTAACCCAGGCCAAGTGTGTTTATGGACAGCTAGCCTGCCTGATGTCAGGGACATCATCAGGAGTCAAGAGACTTGGAGACCATCTGCTCTATTAGTTTCAGACTAAGGAAAGCTAAGGCCAAAGCAGGTGTAGCTGACCTAGGGCAGCCCTGAGCATGCTGCAGCCATAGCAGGTGATGTACTTCTGAGAAATCCCAACTCAGCATAGTTCAGTTGCACGTCCCAAGTGTGCAGATAAGGGGACCAGTGAGAGGGACAGTCATGATAGAATCATAGAATCATTAAGGTTGGAAAAGACCTCTAAGGTCATCAAGTCCAACTGTCAACCCAACACCACCATGCCTACTAAACCACGTCCCGAAGTGCCATGGCTACACGTTTTTTTTAACACCTCCAGGGATGGTGACTCCACCACCTCTCTGGGCAGCCTGTTCCAATGCTTGACCACTCTTTCGGTGAAGACATTTTTCCTAACATCCAATCTAAACCTGCCCTGATGCAACCTGAGGCCATTTCCTCTTCTCCTATCGCTACTTACTTGGGAGAAGAGACCAACACCCGCCTGGCTACAACCTCCTTTCAGGTAGTTGTAGAGAGCAATCAGGTCTCCCCAGAGCTACTGAACAAGAAGTTTAAAAGCTAGGTGTGAACAGGTTTGGATGTGACAATGCTCTTAAAATGCCAGATGGCTCCCTTCAGCTACAGAATCATCGCGAGTCTTTCAGTTACCTTCAGGGACATTGGCTGAGCTATAGCCAAGCACAGCAACACAAGTGCCGGGATGAATTATAATACTGCTGCCAAAGGACAGGCATAAATAGCTCACAGAAAACAAAATCTCTTCTGGCCTAGTAGTTCCTAGCTCTTTTAGACAAAGAGTTTGAGTTTTGTCCATCTGACACATACTCACACAGACTAATGGGTTCTGACCACACTTGCACCTCCTGAGATCATGTGTTTGCCAACACATTTGGCCTGTATGAGTTTCCTCCTTTTCTGGTGCTTTCATTTCCTTACCACCTCCTGAGAAAGTATCTCTTTTCCTATGGCCCACAGGTTCGTTTTTTCCCTTTGTTGTCAGTTTGACCAGGCTAGGGAATGGTGTGCTCTGGTCTCTGAATCATGACGCTGGTGGAAAGGCCCTTCTCAAAACTGCTAGCTACTGTAGTGTAGACACCAAAAAGCCAAAATCCTCCGAGGAAGAGTGTTTGGAAGCAGAACCTAGAAGGAAAGAGCTACAAATGAGGATTTCACACTCTAGCAAAGGCAGAAGTATTTATTTTAAAGGCAAATAGAGTGTATTTCTTATAAAAGCTAGCCAGGAAATTATTGAAGCAAACTGTGGAAGATTATCAGAAAGAAGCATGTGTTGGCAAGTGCCTCTCCTCCACTGCACATACCCTGAATACCATTGCTGTTTGTGTGAGCATGGCTGCTCAATAATGCATAATTTTAACAGCTTGGTTTTCTTTTGCAGTCCTCCGGAACATCTTCATCCTGTCATGCGTGCTCATTGTCTGCTCCCTCCTGTTCCCCGTTCTGTGGCATCTATGGATTTATGCAGGAAGTGCCAACTCCAATTTTTATTATGCCATCACGTTGACTTTCAACATAGGGCAGGTTAGTAGAGTGAGGCAAACGAGGCTGCACTTTGGGTAGGTTACTGGATCGGGCGTCCTGTCCGCAGCAGTGAATTCTGCAGGATGCGTCTGGCTCTTTGCATCCTGTGCAGTCCTGCGTAGCAGCTTGCTCCAGCTTGCTCCTGCCTCCCCTTGCTCCAGCCGAAATCTGCCTTGTCCTCACCTTCTGGCACACGAGTTCTTGTCGTATTCAAGCTGTAGCTTAACAGTCCGACGAGGCTGTGCTGCAAGTTACAGGTCTGTTGCTTGATAGCAGAGGAAAAGCATCTCGGTGTGGCAGGACTAGGAGCACATGTGAATGGAGAAGGTGAGCTAAGGGGGGAATGGAAAAAACCACGGGGCCAGACAACAGGCAAATGAGAACTGCCCGTACACCGGGACCTGGCACCAAGTTTTCTGAGCGTTATACCTCACTGAAACATAGGGTTGTGGGCACGTCAGGGTCCCAGGCATGCCAAGGCTCACTCTTCTTGCTTCCTTCAAGGCCGTTCAAGATATGGGACTTTCACTGGCTTTAGGGAAAACAGAGCTTGGCATCCCTGGAGGATTCAATGTACACAGCTGCCACAGCCTTTTCTAAGTCCTCCCTCTTCTCTGTGCTATTCTTACGTCCTTAAGCCTTGGCATAGTTTCACATGTGGGTGAACAGAACGTTCATTTCATGTTAAAGTTGCCTTTATTTTGAATGTGCCTCAGCCATTTATGTTTGTCTGCTTCTCCTAAAACTAGAGGAGCAGCAGTTTTGCCAGGAGCTGAAAATCACCGGCTTGTACATCCCCCCACCCCCCTTGATGAACGGGGACAGACACCCATTCTGTAAAAGTGAAAGAGACTCCATGCAGGGCATGGGGTGAGAGGCAGTACAGAGATACCACTAAGAAGGGCTTATAGGAAATTGGGAGTGGTTCATTAGCTCCCTAACTACATGTCTTGCTATGAAATGAAAGGAATAGTAAAACCTTAATTAGAGATGGCAGGTGTTGATATTCTAAGAAGATTTTGTTTCCTACCTGAGAAAGTCATAGCAGATCCTGCAAGGTCTTGTGCTCTGTGTAAATGCCGACAGAGCAAAGATCTACTTTCTGATTTCCTTGTGAGAAAGAACTAGCCCTCATCCCCACTACCCTTAGCTCTTTCTTTTCCCATTAAGACACCTGCCAAGAAGTTTAGTTAGAAGTAAAATCAACCGTATGGCTATAGCATGTCAGTACCCAGCCATGGTGTTCAGCAAAACAAGCGGACAGAATAAGCATGGCTGGTTTTGCTCTCCCTGGGCACCTCTACCCTTTTCTCTCTGTTCTCCTTCGCACTTTCTCTGCTGCAGCCTGTTTCTCTCCCAGTCCTCCGTATCCTCCCGTCCTGTCTCTGAGCCTTCTCTGCAGCAGCTGTATTTAAGAGTAGCCCAAGCAGGCTCTGGCTGACAGCCTGACCCTCCCTCTGTCCCCTTAGCACTGCAGCATCCTTCAGGCGAGGCTCTCCCTGGAGTGAATCCGCCAGGGAAACGGACGCATTGCGCCAAAGCGATGCATTAAGTGCCATCTGGACATAGGACTAGCTTCTCTGGCACTGAAAAGGTTTTCCACTCTAGTTACATGATGCTGTTTCTAGATGGAGGAGGCTGGCGTTCCCGGGAAGGGTCGCACTACAAGAGGCTAAATGATGAATGTCCTGCCGAGCCAGCAGGTCACTCGCTGCCTGCGCTTACAGCAGCCCAGCCTGCCCCTGCAGAGGCAGCTTGCCCCAGGTGACTGCTTTAGAAAAACCGCAGAGACCTGCTCCTGCCTTCTCAGTGCTTTTAGGCGAGGGAGCAGCCACACTGCCGTGCCTCAGTACCACCAAAGTGGGGCTGAGGAGGGGAGGGACCTTGTGGTTTCCATGTCAGGTTTCCACGTTCACTGCGGTTGTGATTTCACACTACGAGATGGCCGGTGGTGATACCAGCCTGAGGTACACCCATCTCCTGAGCAACACGGGACGGTGCTGACATCCGTGTGTGTGGCAGCATCCTCTGACCTGCATCAAGGGGAAACCTGGGGGGTAGCCAGCTGTGATCACCACTTCAAGGGAGAGTGTACAAACGTACACGTGGGGTTGGCCGGCCCAGAGAGCGGGCACGAGAGCGCAGGAAGGAAGCACAGAAGCGGTGGGGGTGGAAAAAGTGCTTTTATCTGGTGTTGCTCCCGGACATTGTGCTGTGAAGCCACAGCCTTGACATTTCAGCTCTTCACCCCTCAGCCTGGTAAGTATGATTTTGTTAAAATGCCAAACCTTCTGTTTGCGAAGGCTGGCCTGGGGAGCTGTGGTATTCCTGCTGATGGCTGAAACACTCTT